GTGGATTTTAAAATGTTTACTGAATTTTATGAATAGCGCAGATGAACCAGAGTATATGATATTCTGAAGTATCTCTTGTTTTATTACTTTCGATAGGATAAAGCGCTATGCTTTTTTTACAATGCGTCGCAAAAAGAACCGCTTGCGCCCAGCTTTTAAAGTTAGTTCTCTGCTGAACGCTGTCCTTGTTCTACCTGCTCTGGGAGACCTTTCTAGAATTCTTCTTAGAAAAGACTTAGAGAATGGAAAATAATCTAGTTACTTTACGTGTAAACACGTTTGTTACAAAACGATAGTGACGCTTCCTGCCATTTTACAATTATGCACGAGTAAAACGAAAAGCTTTTACGAGAAAAAAAGAGGCAGGAAGAGTATATCGGTTGACATAGTGTATTTTCTGTGTTTGGTTGCATAAATGAATAGTGAAATTATGTATCTGTTCTACTAAGCGAGTACGTGTTTAGTGGAAAGAATGCTTTTTCTAAATCTATCATACTCAATAAAAAGTTTAAAAACCAAATTCTATTCATGATGGTCAATTTGTTTCTACTTTTCCTTCGACTTTTATTAACTACTTGTTGCTTTATAATAAAGGTCAAGGAAGCAACGATTTGTTACAGTTTATCAGCAAAATCGTGTATAAAACGTTTATATTGCACTTTTCGAAATGACTAATATTTTATTATTAAAGAAAATGTCATGCTTTGGAAGAAAAATGACTTGGTATTTGTGTAATATGATTGCTATTTATTTACTAAACACACTATGGTGTAAATTGAACCATAAAAAAGGTTGTTTTTCTTTCCCAGATCATTTGCGTAATAAAACAGCGTGATTCCTTATACTATAAATGTTTGTCATTCACCTGCAAAACTTTGCGTAGCAACAAAATGAATCAATTGCTGATTCTGCTCTTAATTCCAGTTGTTTTACTTACTGCAACTAGGTTACCGTCATTTGAGACAGTTCAGCATGCAGTCGATTCAATATTATCGAACGTAAATGATACGCAAGCCGCTGTTAATGATGATGCTGTGGTTGGTAATATATTTGGTCATTTTAAACAAATACATAAAAAGACATATTACTCAAAAAAAGAAGAAGATAAACGTTATGCACTATTCAAAGCAAATGTTAAACATATTACTATTACAAATATGAATAAAAAGAATGCATTTCAACTGGCTATTAATGAATATTCAGATTATACAGCAGAAGAATTTGCTGCTGAACGAAAAGGATTGAAATTAATTAAAAATACGTTGATCAGAGGTAAAAGAGTAGCAAGTTTATTATCGTCAAGTACGACGAGTTCGACACGTTCAACTACTACTACGACGAGTTCGACACGTTCAACTACTACTACTTCTACAAGCACGACAGCAGTCCCATCTACATTATGTACAAATACATCATGTGACTGGCGAACTGTTGTCAATGGTGTGTCATTTGTTACAAGTATTAAAGATCAAGGCCGATGTGGGTCATGTTATGCATTTGCATTCGTAGCACAAATTGAATCACTTTTAGCAATTAAATTTAATCGTAATTCATCTGATCTCAGTCCACAGCAAATTATAGACTGTTCTTATGCAACGAACGGTAGTAGTAATGCTGGATGTAATGGTGGAAATTGGTATTGGAGCGCTGTTTATCTGCAGTCGGTCGGATTTAATTTTGCCACATGGGCAAGTTATCCATATAATGGTGCTGTTAATAGTTGTCGTAGTCAAACCGCGATAAAAATAAACATTGGTCAATTACGGTATCGTGAAGTTGTAGAACAAGATGAAATTGCGTTGAAACAAGCCGTTGCTTTAGGACCTGTTTGGGTTGGTATTAATGCTGATAACAGATATTTTTCACACTATGCCAGTGGTATTATTAATCCATCCGACTGTGGAAACACAGTCAATGATTTAAATCATGCTGTACTAGTTGTTGGATATGGACGAGATCAGAACTTGAATTTAGATTACTGGATAATTAGAAATTCGTGGGGGCAATCATGGGGAGAAAAAGGCTACTTTCGAATGGCAAGAAATAAGAATAAAATGTGTGGGATTTCAGTATGGAATGACGCAGCTTATCTAGTTTAACTCATTTTTTAAGCATAAGGGTTGTATCCAGTTTTTGAATAAAAGTGTATGCAAAATAACACAACGATACGCCATCTCATCCAAGGTAATGTTGTAATATGACATATTTTCGCACACTGAACGTAGTTTATTCTGATGAAAAGTATTTTCGAGAAATCTTCTTAGCCATTTATTCTCCGTAGGACAGTGTGGATGGAAAGCCAATGGCCGTGTGTTATTTTAAGCTACATTATTCCATTTTTTATCAGCTTCATACAACTAGTACTCCGCAAAAAAAACGAAAAAAATATGATTTTCACAAAGGTAAAACTTTATCCGCTCTCAAGTTCTTAGGGTCTCCTATAATGCTTGATCGAGAATGGCTTAGATCAAAATATAACCATGCGAAAACTACAAATTTCTGGGAAAATTACACGAAATCTCGTATCTTGTTCACATGACTCGTCGCATATATACAAAAACTTACTTTCCATGCTTTTTGCTCAGATCATAACTTCGAACAATTTGAACGTACAGTATGACCATTGATTAGCGGCTAATTATACTCAGCAGTGTTAAAGCATAACAGTCATGTATTTTATATCATGATGAGAATAAGTTTAGCATAACTGCTCTGAATGATTTATACAATAATATCTCTATTTAGTTCGCCTATATTGATCGATTAAGCTGTATTTCTATTACATGTTTTAAAAATTCCACCTATTAGTAAAGCGCCGCTAATTCAAAATTCGAGCAAAATTTCGCTTTCCCTACAGAGAAATCCATTTTTTCTAAATAAGACGCGAAAAAGTCGAAAATCTGCTCTTAATTCTCAGTTTTCTCCATGAAATCCTTTTTTTGCGCAGTACACACATCATGTTCAAAATTAATCGACGCGCATCAGAAAGAAACACATTAATTATGCATTA